CCGCCCAGCCCTGCCGACCCCCGCCCCGCGCACACGCCCTCGGCTGCGCCCCGGCCTCGCTCTCCCGACTGGGAGGGTCTGGTTTTCAGGGTGCTTTTAAATGCCAGAGACGGCCTTGGGCTGCGCGGGCAAGGCCCCGCGGCGGCGCCACAGGTGTGCGGCCGCGCATCTGCGGGCCTCCCCGGAACAGCTGCGCTGGGGAGGGAGCGTGGGGCGGGCGCCGAGGACCCGCCGGAGCTGCTTGAGCGTTCGGCGGCCCTCCGGACCCGGCCCAACGACTGCCCCAGCCCTCTCCTGCCTCTCTTGCTGCATGCAGCCTCCGTTCGTCTGTTTGTCCATCCGCTCTGCACACTCCCTGAATAGATCAAGCGCTTCTCCATCTCCAGGGACTCCAAGCCTTTATTCAAGCTGTACCCTCTTCCTTAATATCTAACCCCAGACAAAAGGTTACCCATCTCCCAGACTCATCGTCAAGGGCCTCTCCATAAAGCCGTTCCTGCCAGGCTCCCAACTCCCATCATTGAATCAGCCTCCCGGAGGGCTCAGCAGGAGCCTTACTGCCAGGCCAAGGGAGTGCAGCAGGGATGAGAGAGACAAGGCCCTAACCTAATTAGTGGCTGACCTGCTCTACCTCCTGCAGCAGCTTCTCATCACACAGCAGCCTGGCCCTGGAGCCGCCAGGTCACCCCCACAGTCTGGCTTACCAGTGATTGTTTGGAGGGCCAGACCACTGGTGCTAAGGTCCCCATAGACCCCAGGAGAGGCACCATAGCCTCAGCACCCCTGACCCAGATGCTGCTCTGGGGAGAGGTGGGCAGGAAGCCAGGGCATAGCTTGATAAACCTCTTGACAGGAAAGGAGAAAAGAGGGAAGGGGGAAAGGGGAGTCCTAGCAAGCCCCCACAACCCCAGACAGGTGCCCCAAATCTCCAGACAGAATAAAATGTTAACCTCTGCCATTCACTTTCTGCCTGCAAAATACAAACTAGCAGTATCTTTTAAAAGACCCATCTTCTTTACTTTCAAGTTGCCACCCAGAGGGAGGGTGTGCTAGGGCTGGTAAAGCACCCCGCTACACAGGCTGAGGCCTGAAGCTCTTCCCTCCACAGCCACCTAGAGGCCAGTCACCCACACCAGGACAGGAGGCCAGAGATATCTTGGCCTTGGAACAGATGCGGGGTTGTAGATTAACAAAAGAGAAGCAACTTAGTATTCCAGGAACACTAGGCCATCATTTTCCCATTTTGCAGGTGGAAAGTTGGGGCTTACAGAAATAAAATGGTATCTCAGGTGCAAAGTGCATTAGCTACAGCATAACAGTTTCTGGAAGCCAGGTTCCCGCACACCTTATCGAGAGCTCATTCTCCACTCATTCTTTCAGTCTGTCCTCTGGACTCTGAGCTGGGTCTTAAATTCTTGTTGATGACCAGAATTTGCAGGCCTCCGTTCCCATGTTGCCTACATTGCCTTCCTCAGCGTTGTTAAGTCCTAGGTTCCACGCACCAGGACGTCCCCAGGGGTCAGTCTGGACAGGGAAGCTCCAGAGCTGGGGACAAGACCACGTGTGTATCGGGGGGAGGGGCACCGGTTCGCGATTGGCCAAACAGATCGCTGCTCCCAAGCCGACTTCCCGGGTACAAAGCGCCGCAGTCGCTGGGCCTCGGGCCTCAGCAAACGCTGCGCCTGCGCCGCAGAAACTCCTCCTCCCTCCCAAGGAGAGAGCTTTCTGGGCGGGGGGAGGACCTCGGGCCCCTGTACCCTCTGCAAAGCACTGGAGCCGCGAAGCCCGCTCCGGAACCCGAGTCCCGTGGCCGCTTGGTCCGCAGAAAGTAAAACGCTTCCCTTAGGGAGACCGTGAGCCCCTGGGCTCCGCAGTCCCAAACCTCGAGGACTTCTGGAGCCCTAGGCGCGCCGGAGGGCGCCGCCTTTTGTCCAGTCCCCGAGAAGCCATGGAGAAACGGAAGAGAGGGCCAGAGGGGGAGAGAGAGGAGTGGAAGAGGTGAAGCGACCACCATCCCCAAATGCCTAGGCGCGTCTGCGGAGCCGGCCCAGGCAGAACCTGGGGGCGATGCTGGCGCTGGTGACACTGACCACGGACGCACTTGCAGACAGCTTCCGGACGTGCACAAAGCGCTCTCGTCTCCCTGATACTCCACCACGCCTTGTGGGTGGCTGGGAGAAAAACGCCATCCCCATTTCACAGGTGGAGAAGCTGAGGTTCAAGAGGACGAAGTGCCTTGGTTGGAAACCAGGGTTTCCCGGTACAGACCCTGACTTCAGGATCCGCAGCTCTGAAGCCTCCCGCTCGGGCTCAGAAGTCTGGATCCCAAACAAGGTCGGCCACCAGGGAAGGAGGTGGTGAGGGGAAAATAAGAAGGGGTAGAGGAAAGGAGATGACTCTCTCGATACCTCCCTCCCTTGCCCCCACCCCATCATTGTAGACCTCCCCTCTTCAGGGCGCCGAATTCAGGACCATGGAGAGTTCTCGAGCAAAGGGACAGGAAGCGGAGAGCGAGAGAATGGGAGCCGCAGGAGACCCGGTACTGCGTCCTTGCAGCCGCAGGCTGGCGCAGCCCCCACTCCTCCAGGAAGCCCTCCCAGATTTCTGTCTGAATCGAGATCGGCTTCCTCCCGCTCACTTTATGCCTCTCACAGTATTTAAGGGGAGAAGGGCTAATAAAAAATGATAGTAAAATTCAACAACGAACATTTATTGAATGCTCACTGCTTACCAGCATTAGCTGATTTAATTCTCACAATGAATCTGTCACCCACCCTGGCCTGGGGTGGGGCCAGCGTGCTGAGCTGGGACCCCAGCGCCTACCGCGGGTCTGGGACCTGAGCAGTGCTCAGACTTCGAGTTCTGGGCTAAGCTGACAGCCCGCTGGCCCTCGGGTGTTCCAACTTCCGTTGCCCTGGCATCTGGTCCCGACCCTCACACATACATCCCAAAGCTGTGCTGTCTACCCATCCATCTTCCTCCAATTCCCTGACAACCGCTAGCTTAAGGAAGAAGAGCCATAGGGCCCAGGGCCTGGCATTCCCTCTCCCTAATGCTCCTTCACCTTAGGAGGGTAAAAACCTCCAAGTCTAGGAAGCTAGAGACCGGGGTTCAAATCTCCAACTTGCTCTGTGAAGAGAGCAGAGTGGCATCGTGCTGTGGGACTCAGGAGCATCCCCTGAAGATGTCGGTGCTTGGGGGTAGCAGTTTCTAGTGCTAGCTGCCCGACTCATCTAAATCGTTAACCAAATCTTTCCCCCAAGCATAGAGGGAGCACACACGAAAGGTTCCTTTCAGCATTAACCTGTGTGACCACAGGCGTTTCACTGAACCTTTTCCAGAGTCTGGAACACAGTAGGTGCTTCATAATCACTAGTGAGTGAGTGAATAAATGAATGCACGAATGCGGAAAAGAGCTCCCCTTCTTTTCCCATAAGGCAGGGAATGGGGATCCTTGGATTAACTTCACCCCAGAGGTCCCCTCGCGTTTTAAGGGTCCATGTGGCGGCTGTAGCCAACTTACTTTCCTTCTCAGAGCCTTGCTCTCCCTTCCTGCAGAAGAGGAGCGGGGGGCTGGATTTCGAAGGACCCTTTGGAGTCTCACGGGCTGGGCTGGCCAACCCCGACCAAATCGTACCACCTCTCCGACCCTCCAGTGTGACGGAGGGGGGGAGGGGGGCTTCCGTGGCCCTCTCAAGCCCGGTGGCAGCGGCCCAGGCACTCCGCTCAGGCGGCTCCACGCCCAGCTGCCCCGAGGGCCCCGCCCCCCGTCCGGTCCGCGCGCGTCCCGAGGGTACCTGGCCATTGTCCCGGCCGAGTGGCAGGTCACGGGGCGCAGGGCAACGGATGCGCAGCGCGGGTGGTCGCTCCTCGCGCTCGCCCGGCGAGCTGACCGCCGAGCCCGAGAGCTCACTCACGTCGCTGGCCGTGTCCTCGCTACCGCCGGGCCCCGGCAGGCCGACGGCGTCGGGCCGGCCAGCACTGCGAGGCGTGCGCGCCGAGCCGCGGCGGCCCACGCTGTACGCGTCGAAGTCGATGGTCTTGTTCTCGTAAGCGCCCTCCACCGCGGCGAACATGCCGCCGTACTTCTGGCGCGGCGTCTGCGCCGCGCTACCCGGCCGCGCCAGGTACACGGGCAGGTCGTCCTCCGTGTTCCACGCGCGCCGCCGGTCCGCCATGCCGGTCCAAGGC